ACCCACCGGCGGCAGAAGCCCAGAGCTGGTGTGTGCGGGGCTCTGGGTGCAGGCAAAACCCTGTGCAGGAGGTGTTGGTGTTGGACCTGCTCGGGAACAGGCCGGGGCACCTCAGGAAACTGGCAGTGGCGTCATGGCCCAGAAGGCCAAAGGATTTTCTAGTTTTTCACTTAAGAGAGATCAATGTTTCTTGTTACAAGCACACGTTCCCAATGAAAAAAAACAACATTTACTCGAGATCCCTCTCTCTGTTGAGAAGTTGTTTCCACAGACATTTCAGAAAGCCCCAATTACAAGCCAAAGTGCTTTTATTTCCCTCCTTTGGCTGTATGAAGGTTCTTTTTTGGGTTACTGAATGTGCAGATCTCACTGATCTTACTGCCCAGGAAAGGCCAGCCCGTGGGGACTGGTGTGACACTGACAGGCATGAAGGATTTGGACGGCTCTAGAAACTAGCGGGGCTGAGACATACAACCGCAAGTTTTGAGGAAGAGCACGCATCATCACATCTAACCCTGAGCACAGATTATTACCTCAGCGAGCACCGCGGAAGGGAATAATTTCTAAGACCTCCTGTGCACATCCCTCTGTATGCAGATGCCCCGCGTCTGACCGCTTTTAGAAGCCGCAATCTGATCTAGAGCAGCAAATCAATACCCTGCAGTGAAACGCCTTAAGATCTGAGAGATGTTCAAACTCAGATTTGATAGACATTCTGCTTAGAAAAAGTATTTGAGGGGGGAAAAAAAGAAAAACAGAAAACTGATGGGATGAAGTACAGAGAGACAATTCCTCCTTTAAAGCAGAATCAAGTCCTGTGAGGAGCACTGTCCGTGAGAGGTACAAGTCACAGGCAAGGTAACAAGTAGTGGGACAACCCCAACAAAACCAAAGAAGAAATGGCCTCCAAGCAGCAGTGTAAGGGCTGATTTGCCTGTTGGTTTCCTGCCAACTGTTACCCTGAGCATTATCCACAGGAGCAGCAGAAATCTGTTTTTTGGAGATTTGAGTATTTTGACTCATTTTGGGAGAGACCATGATGTCCAGCAAGCACTGGTCTTCCTGGGCATGACAGACTGCCCCAAGCTGTGGTAGCAGCGGTTTCTCGCCAGCTGTCTAGCCAGGTTCTGGTCCCCCATCTAACATTCCTGTATTTTTCAATATTCTTAAAAAAGGCAGCTTCAGGCAGCGCTAGGGTGACCGCAGCTACTGTCCCCATCATGTTCACCAGCCAAATAACTCATTACCAGCACAAATTAGAAAACAAGTAAATGAAACCGTGAATTAAAATATTTTTCTGAATACTATTTGTCTTTTCAATCCAAAATATTTTAATCTACTGCATTTAAAATACTTATTTTTAATAGCAGCATGATTGCTTGCTGTTCATACAAATTTGACAGTGTATTTCATTACCTCCCCAGTATTTTTTTGTTAAGACTGACCACTGATCTAAAAACATACAGTAAGCATTTGTGATTACATCACACTGAAATGCAATACCTAACTTACTGCACTAAAACAGAGATAAATAAATCATGTTTACATGAAGATGTTGGTAACGTCAGCATTTTCTCTGTGTTACCATCAGAAGCATTTTAACCTGAGCAGGAGAGACTGACAGCCACCAACAGGCAGTCACCCAGTGCATGTCACCACACAATAAATGGGTTTCCAGTTATCGGCCCAGCCTACCTGTCAGGAGCTCTGGTTTCCCACTGCCACGGGACGGGCAGTTCCTCCACCGCGTCCTGCGCCCCGGGGACTGCCGCAGCCGCGCAGAGCTGCCACGGGCGCTTGCTGTGGGCCCTCCCCGACAGCCCCAGGTTTGGGTGCTTGGCTGCAGCTCCATACGGTGAATCCCACTGTGGGATTTCTTCTGGATTTTCCCTCCTTCACCTGGTGTTCTGGAGGATCCATTTTCCCTCCTGGGCTCAGGCTCTGAGGTACTTGTGCTCCTTTGCCTCCAGGTGACAAAATCTGCTGTTCCGCTTGCCGCCTCCCGCAGCCCCGAGCATGAGGATCAGGGATAAGGTGGTTTATGTTCACTCTGCCAGAGGTTGAACTTTTTGCTGGGACAACGGTAAGCCTTTTGGCACCATTCAGGGACAGCAAATTATAAATTCTTGTGCCTTTTTTCTCAGCGTGCTGCGGGCCATGGTCTACTGAAAACTCCAAAAAAAAATTACAACTTGATTTCCCGAACGTAGCTTCACGGTCTTCCCCAAAACTGGGCTTGCGGGACATTCAACAAACCACCAGACATACCCTGTGTTATAAGGAGATACCTTGGAACAAACCACTTTGTTTTCATTCACATTTATCTTTTCATGAGTTACTCCTCTGGAACTCTTCCTAAAATCTTCTTTCAAGACAGATTTTTAAGTAACTGTGAATAACAAATATAAATGTGTGACATATAAAACAAGACATAGTCACTTCTACAGAGAAGCAATTTAGTACCTGCTTAGCAGGGAACCAAAATATATTCAGTTTATCTGAATCAGTATTCTGCTTCTTACGTAAAGCTGAGAGCTACTTCAAGCAGCAGAGCCAGGCCTCCCACTGAAAGTTAGTTCAAGCAGCAGAGCCAGGACCCCGGCAAGGAGCCTGTGGCTGGAGGAGAGGGAGGGGGGTTTTGGCTTTCTTCTTTGTCGGCTTAGTTCTAGCTTTTCAAAATGCTCAGTCAGAGATTTCAGTGGTGCAGATGTCACCCGTGCGGAAACTTCCACATACCCTAGTTCAGCTTGAGTCTGCAAGGGTCAGAAAAATCGCATCTTCCACCGCCAGTAGCAAAATACGAGAGATACTTGGGGTTTCTGAAACGGCAATGTCTCTTTTTCTGTCTTGGTAATCACTGCTGTCTTCCTGGTAGTAACAGTAGAAGCAACTGTAGCTTCCGCAGTAGGCTGAAACAACAAGAGATATAAAAACACGGATCAAACAAAAGTGTATCTGGGCAAAAATAACAGGCATTAAATTTCTGTAAATGTTAGATTTATAATTATCTGTTTCAATTGTACAGCTGATAAAAAAGAATTTGTGTTATACTCTGTTGACGCTGATGACTGATAGGGAAGGTTCCCCTCGATGCCACCCATGGTGTGGTACTTTCTGCCATCTCTGGAAGCACAGACTGGCAATTTATCTCCTATTTACATGGGGGAAAGGGGGATTTAGGAGATCTCTTGGTCCCTATGGCCCGATGCTTAGAGAAACACACGTTTATAAATGACATGTTCTCCCCCAGACGGTTCTGGTCACTCAGCCTGAAGGTGGGACACGCCGATGCAAGAGGTTCAGCCCTGCTGCGAGTGGGCCAGAGACCCCAGCCCAGGGGCAGTGGGTTTCCATGGGTTCCCAGCAAGGGTTGGCTGGAGCGAGCCCCTGGTGAGGGACAAGCACAGAGGACTGGGTGTTCACCCCGGTTTGTTACAGCTTTCCTTGCTCTCAAGCCTGCTGTGGTTTTCTCTTGCCTTGTTCTTCCCTCTGAAGAAGGAAATTCTGTTTGACACATTTTTAGCCTGCCAGTGCCTAGGACAGACATTTTTTTAAAGGGTTTAGAGATTTCCATTTTGGGGTTATCTGGGGCACCCAGGAGACCCCCTCAAAACTGCTGAAGCAGCCTGAGCAGCAAGGGGAAGGCTTGATGCTTTACAAGAAGAAGAGGGGAGACCAGAGGTGCTCCAAGGGCTTACCTTTTGCATGTGGCCTGAAGGACTATGACCAAAGAATGAAAGCTAAAGAGAAAAATAAAAACAAAAATAGAAACTGAAAAGGGGAGGGAAGAGAGGAAAAAATGGAAGAGAAGAAAGAGAATAAGAGTTTACAGTGTGTTTAGCCGAGAAATATGCTCTGGTTACAGACAGTGTGCAACAAAACTCTTGGTTGAAAAGAAATACAGAGTGTGAGGTAAGCTCTGGGGGCTGGGGGCTTGGCTCGGCTCAGACAGAGCCCCCGTGTCCCTCAGAGAGATGAGAGTCACCTCCTGCCCCAGCGGAGCCAAGCCCAGCCACAGCCAAGGGCTCTGGAAAATGGGGAGGAAAAAAATCAGCTGAATTCTTCTGATACCTCAAAAAAAACCCCAAACCAGCACTGCTAAGGTTCGGGGTTGGTTTTGGGTGCAAGTCCAGCTCAGCCCCTGTGGTACCTGAACAAGTTCTCCCACGGCAATTTCACTAGAAACAGATGGTTTTAGATGAGGGTGGGTTTAGGGTAACATTCAACAGTCATGGCTTGCCTGCAGAAAGCTCGGAGACGTTAACCACGGGGACGGTGACTGCCGTGGCAGCAGGTGAGGAGAGGACAGAGAGCCCCCTCACTCCCTCGGGGGACGGCAGGTCAGCGCAGCTGCACGTGCAAATGCTGGAGACGGGAGGGAGGGAGAGAAGATCCCCGGCTCCTTCCCCAGAGCCCGTCCGGACCTCACCCCGCCGCGGGCCAGCGGCTCTCCGTCACCCTTCCCAGGGCAGCTGGACCCCCCATGTCCCTGCCGGGTCCTGCGTTTCGGACCTTACTGCAGGGTGACCGAAGGAAAGACTCAGTTTAAGCTGGCAACCCTTCCTTCTCAGAGGGACTAGTGCCAAGGCAAAATGGTTTCCTGGAGCGCTCTCACGTGAGCTCACTGCACTAACAAACACAAACTCTTTGTAAGATGGTTGCTTTCTTAGCCAAGGTGAAATGGATGTATGGTCGTGTGCACATACAGTAACTGTTTCAGCTGCATTACCTTACCTTTTCCTCTAACTCTTTTATTTGTCTTTTTTGGCCTTCAATTCTTTCTTCTAGCTCTTTAATTCTCTGTCAGATTTCAAATAAGAAAATATTTATTAACCAACCAAATACAGATGCACCCAGAAGATGTATTATTTTTGGATATACAAATTGTATGTGCTCGTAAAAAAAAAAAATAAATTGGGTTTTAAGCTGTAGATGTGTCCTCCGTGAACGTCACTGCGTGACAAACTCATGAAAATCAAAATGCCCTGTTTGCAGGGATTATCCAGGGCAAACCAGGTCTGGACCAGCCACTTCTGGTACAGCTCTATGAGGAGAGGCTGGTGCTCACAAGTTCATTACGTTTCCGTCTGAGGGACCGTCGCACCCCGACTCACCCTGCCCGTGCACCCCCGCCTACCTGCTGTGCGTGTTGAATGAGCTCCATCCTTTCTCGCAGGATTTGGGCGTCCCTCTCCCGGAGCTCGCTCATGACCTGTCGCTTCCATTGCTCTACAGCACTCTTCAGTTTTTCTTTCTCCTCTTCTGAAAGAAGTTCGGAAATTTTGGCTCCAGCTTCTTGCTGCAGGGCATCATAGAGCATGGCTTCTAATTCCAGAATTTGCTAATCAAAAACAATATAAGGCTGTCAGCTTGACCTTGTCCCTGGTCGGATGAGGATCTTGTGAGGAACTCTAAACCCTACCCTGGCAAGGCAACGGGTAGAGGGGCTGTGTGCTGAGCCTCCCGCACAGGAGAGTGCAGAAAGCTCAGTCCAGGGGGAAAATACTGCAGGCTGCTTTCCTGCCGTGGGGCTCTGAGCAGCTCTGGAACTGGGGTGGCCCCTGGGCCAGCCTAACCTGTCTCTCAGAGAGGATATGGGTGTCAGCTTTTCCCTTCTGGAGAGGGGGAGGTGGCCGCGGGGAGGAAAGGAAAAGAAAAAAAAAAAAAAAAAGAAAAGGGAAAAGGCAAAAAGGGGAAAGGGGTTCATTCTGTGAGTTACAGATATTTTTTTAATTCCATGTTCAGTCTCTCAGTTCACCTCTCCCAGCTACTGCTGGCAGCAGCAGAGGACACGGCACCAGTTCGCATCCCTGCCAGAAAGCCATGTCTCCCTGTTGCGTCCTTACGGCATTTGGTACCAACCCGCTTAAAACGCCCCGTGCGAAGGCGCTTCCAGCGCTTCCTCTGGCAGAGCTGCCCGCTCCCAGAGGCTCTGGGCTCAAAGAAATACATCTGGTAGCTGGGCTCTGTTCCTGCAAGTCTCAGGCTGCAGAGCCTTCACTGCATCAGAAAACGTCTCGCACGCAGACAGAGGTACCCTCTGGATCCGCAGACACAGAAGTGTGTAGGAAATGGACTGGCAGCGTGTCCCCAGGGTGACCGAGCCCAGCACCCTCCTAGGGCAGGTGACCTCGCCAGACAATGTCTTCTGCTTCAAAGTCCAAGACAAATGCTATTCCTTCACGCAAGCTAAAAGCAAGCCAAAATCTTTTTCAGCAAGTTTGATACAGAGCAAGAGGCAAAGCAGCAACTGATGGCACCTTTGCACGTCCTCTCCAAAGCTGGTGGCATCTTGCAGAGCTCTGCACAGCTTCAGGAGAACATGGCTGCAATGGTGTGGCTTGAAGATGGGCTGTTTGAAAATGCCATAGGTGTCTGTTGTGATAATTCAGCTCAATTCGACCACGTTTTCTACCCGAGGTCGCTGGTGGCGTTTTCTTACTATGGTTTGGCAGGGTCAGGACAGAAGGACAGAAGCATTTACAAGAACAACAACATCATGGCAGGAGTTATGGGTATTGATGATGACCGAAGGGCAGCACCCATGGTGTCTGTGCAGAAGATCAGGTTGGATCTCAGAAGATTCTGCTTTCACTTTTAAAATAACACCAACATCCTTGCTAACTGTAACTGCCTCCACAAAACACTGTTATTCGAAACACGGATTTCTGTTGGGCCCCAAACCTCCATTATGCAACCACTATCCCCCTCTGATCACGTGGACTTGCGAAGGAGGAAGATTGTGGGGAAATTCACTGTCTTCAGCAGCAGCAGCGGTGTCAGGAGGCTCTGAGTGAGCCAAGTGCTTCTCGGAGCAAAATCCCCCGCCAGCAGCCAAAGGGAGTGAAAACCGTGCAAAAAGCTTAGTGGTTCCAGCTGGTAATCGTGTTGGCTGCAGTTAGCGGGGGAGATTAGCAGCTCCTCATCTCAAGGGGCACAAAGGAAACGTGGAAGTGAAACAAATTACACAAATCAAAAGAGCTTTTGCCACTCGAGTTTTGGGGCAGAACAAAGCTTTCTCGCCGTTTTCAGGTTGCACTTACGCCTGGGAGTAAAGCCCCTCGCTTTGCCTGGGGACACTCGCGCGAGGCCTTTGAAGAACACAGGAAAATGCCAAAACCCCTCCGCTACTTCTGCAAGGGCTGCAGCACGGCTGCCACGCTCG